ATCATTTCCATATTGAAACACTACAAGAAAAAAGGATATTAGAGACTGACATGATCAGTCTCCGATGGTCAATATTCAGTCTCTGATAAGAATCAGGGACTGATTTAGCTAGTCCCCAACTAGTCCCTGAAACCTAGTCCTAGATAGTCAGATATTTTATGTATCTAAGACTGAAAATCAGTCCCTAATACATCGAAGTATCAAAGACTGGAAATCAGTCATTGATAATATCGCATTCAGTCTCCAACTTGTTTTCTTCAAATCCCCGATTGGATGTCATATCAGTCCCCGATTCCACCTTTTAGGGACCGAATATCAGCCCTTTATAATTATTATTCAGTCTCCAATATGTTTCATTGAAATCTCAATTTTATGTCGGATCAGTCTTGATACTATCTTTTAAGGACTAAATATTAGTTTTTGATACTATCATGTGCAGAGTTCAATATATTTCCTTCAAGACCCCACTTATATCATACTAGTCCCTAATTTATATGGAATATAAAATAATAAATATAAAAATATAATATTATTATTTGAATTAAAATTTAACTACTAAAACAACAATATCCTCAATATTGGAAACACGAATGTCTTGAATAACTAACAAATCTAAATGTTTTGCTAGTAAGACTCAAAACATAAAACTATAAAACTAGGTATTTGTCGAGGAAGAAACATGAAAGTCTCTTGTATATGAACTTTACATAATTGATCTTCTTGTTTGTCCAACTTACAAGTAGTTGCCTACCATATACATAAGACATCACATAAAACATGTTAGAGAAGACTTGAAAGTAGCCTAATACATAAAATATGTTCTGATCGTAAATTTTGATTTAAAAAGAAAAAATAGAAAATATAACTAAATAAAGAGGTAAAGTAAGAGAAATATACTCTTTTTCAAGACATTTAAATTCAAGGGTGGCTTTGTCTGTCCGGATTTCAAAAATGACATCACCCACTTGTATCTATTTGATCAAACTAATGATTAGGTGCATATAATAAACCATAATTACCGATAATAGATCTCTAAATTTCTATATATCAACTTGGCATTTTCTATGCATATAATTAAATACACAAAAAAATAGATTTCCCCATAACAATTACAACCGACCCTATCTCCTTTCTTCACTCTGCAATGTTATCATGAGTCTATATTGAAGTACAAAAAATGCAAAATTTATGAGCAAAGGAAGTAAATCAAACTTTAAAAATACAAAAAAAAAAAATAGTTTCTTGTCACAACTTACAAGTGTAGGCGACAAAGTTGGCATTCCAATCACTATATGTGCAGAAGGTTACGTTCTTTCCCAATTTTCTTTTTGCAAATACGGAAAAGTGAAGAATAAATTGTCAAGAATCCATTTGAAAATTGATATCATATTCAAACACATATATTTAAAACGCAGATAACTATTGTTGGCTTGTTGCAATACATAATCAAAAGGTCACTTGGCAATCGACAATGTGGTTGAAATATCTACCATATTAAACTCATTTTTCTCTGCAGTAATTACCTATCAAATCTTAATACAATATGTCAATACCTTATAATCACATTTTATAATTTACAGATATAATTTTCCTAATTCCATCATCTTATCTGATTGAAAATTTGAAACCTATAACTAATCGTCCATATAATCCATTCAATAATTTCAACTTTAGTGACATTAATCGACTGGAAATACATTAAATCAGTTATCAGTTTTAAATCAAACACAAACCTCAGGTCCAGTTGGAGGTCATGCCACAGTCACAGACTCAATTCGGACGTGTTCTCTTAAATTCGAGTATAAACAATGAAATGTCAAAAGATACACAATGAATTATGAACAGTTAACAGAAGCCTACTCCACATTCTTCTAACTGTAATCTCGATGGGCAATGGCCATTTAAAAAAGAATCATAATTAGAATCAGAGAATGAAAATTAAGAACGATTGTGTATGGTATTGGTAGTGAGATTGAAGATGTAGGGTTGCAATAAGAACATACCTAATTATAGAAGCGGACAACGATGAGGTCAGTTACGATGACTAAAGGATGAACAAGCGGAGTAGCGGAACAAAACGAATATATGGGATAAAATGCGATTTGACGAAGTTGGGGTGGAGGTGCGGAGAGGCGTCGAAGAGACGAAACGGTGACCCATTAAAGTACAAGGAAACAATCAGAACCCTAGATGTAGAATGCTTAATATGAAAAAAAAATAACGCATCTCCAACCTATATTGAGATTTGGGATCTTGAAAATTAAGGAACTTTGAAAAAAAAAAAGACGACATATATGAAAAGAGAAGCGGCAAAAGAGGGCAAATTAGAATTTATCATAATCTTTAATTTTAAAATTTTTGAATTTATGGGCCTCATATTACGATATTTTAACTTTTTTGAATTTACTTCCATTTTTAAAAATTTGAATTTTCTTTTATATATATATATATATATATATATATATATATATATATATATATATCCAATAAAATAAATAAATTTTTGGTAAGAAGGTTAGAATTTTTCAATCTACATATTTGTTTGGCCAACCAAAAAAAAATGATTCATTAGATGCATAAAAATAACAAGATTCACAGATAAAAAAATAAAAAATAAAAAATCCAAAGTTACATTTGATGATTTATTTATGTGATGATTTTGTTTTTTTCACAAAAATTGTCCTAAAAATGAATTTTTACTTGATTTACAACAATGTCAATCATAAAGGTGTTTTTTGGGTAATTTTTTGTGAATCATATTACTTTTGATTCATCTATTAAATCATTTAGTTGGTTTACTAAAACAATCTCTAATATATGACATCTATGACTAGAGAATCAGTTTTAGATACTAAAATACAGCCAGTTAAAAGTGTTCAGTTGAAAATAAAATAATGCACGTCTATTAGGGACTGAAATTCAGTATTTAAAAAGTTTCTCATCCAAAAGATAAATTGGTTTACCTGTATCAATGACTGAAATTCAGTCCCTAATAAGTTCCACGCACAGTCAAAACTAACACAAGTCTAATAAGGACTAAAATTCAGTCCCACATAACTTTTGCTTCGAAGTCAAAGTTTGCGCTAAACTATTCGAGACTGAAATTTAGTCCCCAATGTGTTTCACACCAAATCTAAATCGACGCAAACATACTAGGGACTGAAATTTAGTATCAAATAAGTTTGGTCAGTCTCTAATGATTCAAACATTAAAATCAGTCTCAGATAGTATCTAAGACTAATTTATCAGTTCCAAATGCATAGTTTCCAAGACTGATTAATCAATCTCTAAAAACTTAGTCACAGGAGCTCCTTTTTCTTGTAGTGAAAGGCCACATGTCTTGAATAATGATGGCTTTTTATGTCATTGCTTACGTCATTCCTCCCTGGGGGGGGGGGGGGGGAGGGTGAGATGAAGGAGATAAAGGGGGCCGACAATTCCGAGATTCTTTTGTGGATTGATTTCTAATATGATAAATTGCACGTTTTGCTTCTGATTTTGCATACCCATCATCCCCTGTCCATCCATAGGTTTATCTTCTCCACTTCTGTTCATATACAATTTGTTTTTGCCCTAAATCACTGAATCGGTGCATGTATATGTTGAAATCGGCGAGGATGGCCTGCTGGAGACGGCAGTTTATGGGTTTTACTTGAATCTTGGCGAGAACCCCTTTCGTTTCTAGGGTTCTAGCGATGAGGGTATGTAGCTCCATCATTTCTCAAGTGTAAGCATCCATCATGGTTGTTTTAGACGTGTTCGTCTTCTTTAGGTGTATCTTTGTAAGAAGAACCCCTACTGAACTTGGGTTGTATGTAGAATTGCAGAATGTAGTATATACTTCTCTAAACGTGGGATGATTTTTGGGTATGTAAAGTGTGATCCAAGAGAACAAAACATGTTGTGATTAATTTGGAGAGAGAGAGAGACGCTCTTATTTTTTAATTAAATAAATATAAATAATTATTTGATTTTAAAAAAAATGAAAGAAAAATAGAAAATAAATACTCCAATGGTATTATCGTCATTTCAGTTTACTGAGGGACCAAATGTGCAATGAAACTAGCTCAAAAGGACCATCAATCCAAAAAAATCGTGGTGTGGACTAAAACCCCAAAAAAATACATACCTCAGAGACATTTTTGCAATTTTGTCTTAATATAATGAATTTGACCGTTCGGGATCTAATATCTAGTACTTTATTTTTCCGTACAGAATGTTTTTTTTTCTAAAATAAATGAAACGTTTATTATATCAATCACAAATTTAACCAGCTTAGATGATGAGTGTTTCATAATCCACCTAAAAGGACCCTAAAATTGGATTTTATTATTTTTCGATAAAAAAAATAAAGAGTATTTTTAACATTTTGTTGGTACCAATCCTATATACAATCATTTTATCGACATAAAAATATCAAAATAAAAAAGTTAAGAAATTCGGTTTAACTTAAAAATTAAAGCGGCGATCATCTTTGTTTAATATCGTCTTCGTCAACGGAAGTCAATTGGTTTGGTCTTGGATACTTATAATCGTCTTGTTGGAAAATTTTACTATTAGTTATCAATGATTCATCTAGAATATGATCGTGATCTTTGTTTCCTTTCAATCAGTGGGAGTTGTATGCATTGATTTGATACTATTTTTGATAAAAGAAAAAATAGATAAACTTCAAAAGAGCAATAACTACATGAAATTTACCAGACAAACTAAGATAAAGATATAAATATTAAATCCAAGAAACAGTAAAATATGACTACAATATTGAGCCCATTAATTCAAGATAGTTATTGGGCCTTGGGTTGTTGGGCTTGGGTTCATTTATATTATTAAAATATAGATGATCCATTATGTTACACAGGCTCCACTGATTCGAGCTTGTGGTCAAGAATAGGCTACTTTCTAGTTTTTTCATTTACACCCCTCCAACGGTCAAAAAAGAATCTTATTTCAAAATCTTTAATCTTTATAAACATCGCCTAACAAAAATAACGGTCATATTTTCATCCCCGTCTTCCCCTCTTTCTCCGTCTCAATTCCATCGATCAGTTCTTGACAACAATCAAAGTTCTAGAAAATTATGGATAGTTTCACTTCATCAAACTCCATTAAACCTTCTTCGGTTACTGATACTTCATTCAATTGTAAGCTCTCTTTCTATCTCTTTCTTATGATTTGTAGAAATGTAATCGTATTGATTTTGACCTAAATTCTGTTAGTTTAATTTGAATTTGAATTTGAATTTTTGTTTATGATATCTGGAAAATTGAAATCTAGATGCAGGAGGAAACAACGAGAATGAACTGAACCCAGAAATGGCTTCAAGGTTAAAGAAACAATCACCCACCAAGAATTTCATGAGTCACACCATTTGCACAACTAACAAAGCTACTGTTCTTAAAAAGAAAATCTTGGGTGAAAGGAACGAAACCCTAGATGTTAATGAACAACCAAGTCTCCGAAGATCCTCTAGTTTCGATTCAAAATCTGTGAAATCCCCTGTTGTTGTTGATCATGTCCAGAAGCCTTATGACCCTGTTAACAATTACCTTTCACCGAGGCCTAAGTTCTTACGTTATAACCCTAATCGACGTAGGATGGTATCTGTTCTTCATGGAAACGAAGAAAGTGTCAGAAGTAGTAATTCTTTTGAAGCTCCTGGAATGGAATTAGGGGCAGATTCGTATGGGTTTGTTGATTCTTGTTCTCAAAAAGAAGAACAAACCCTAGATTTGATTAACAACGAAGGTGAATGTGAAGAAGAAGAAGAAGAAGAAGAAGAGATTGAGTTTGGGGATGATGAGAGATTCTGGAATTTGAAAGGCTTTTTGAAGTTTATCGCTGTTGTGATTGCTGTAATCTATACTACCCAAGCTATATGTTCAATGGATTCTCCAACCCCTTTTCATACAGTAGAAACTTGGAGTAATGTTTATGGAGTTGCAGGTTTAAACTTTTCTCAAGTTGGAAGTTGTTCGCTAATGGAAACGGAATTAGTGGTAGGAAGATTGAAGGAAGTAGATATGGTTGGCGTTCATGACGATGAAGAAGAAACCTCTGATTCGTTGCAAGAATTAGGAGCTGATATTGATGTAGAAAATGATGAAGCAGATGTCATTCATGGTGAAATGTGGACAGAAGATGAAGATCTTGATGAAAACGACGAAATTGCAGAAGAAATGGTGGAGAATTATGATGTAGAGGGTGAAAGAGAAGTTGAAGATGATGATCAGACGTTGGTAGCAGATTCCGATGAAATCGAAGAAATTGCAGAAGAAGAAATGGAGGAAATCAATGATGCAGAAATAGAAACTGAAACTATCCAATCGGAAAGTTTTGATCTAAATCTTGCAGGTGTAATCGGGTTTTTCGTGTTAATTCTCACATCATCTTTCGGTGTCATGTATTCAAGATGGATGAAATCCTCACCTCCGGTAACACCAACTGTCGCCGGAGCAAATCACGACGCTGAAACGGAAGAAATTAGGGTTCTTGAACAAGAAATTGGGGTTCATGAAGAAGAAGAAGCACCATTGATGAAATCTACATCTTTACAGAAAGATGTTTCTGAAGAACATAGTCACATTCATCCACCATCTGTCGAGTTGCTAGGCGAGTTTGTGTTCGGAGAAAGCAATTCTTTGATCCAATCAACCATTTTTTCCGGCGAAACAAAAGCCTCTCACATCGAGAACTCAACCGGAGATCCTGTTGAGTTTAACCAGAAGACAATCAAGAAACAGAGGCGCAAAATAGAACCGACCACCATGGTTACACCATCTCCGATGAGAAGATCAAGCAGATTACAAAATCGGTCCATCAAATCTCCATGAAAACATCAATCTCTGCTGTTTTTGTGTAATAACTTCGATCATCAATTCATCATTATCTCTTAGATTTGTGTAATAACTTTTTTTTTTCTCTGAATCTAATGAATTTAACTTTTTTAATTTGCTCTTTTTGGTTAAAAGTAATTAAGAAGCAAAAAGCTTTATATTTACAGAAAAAACATCGATTAGCCTACAACAGACATGGAAAAGCCACAAATCTCACTCATCGATTTTCTTCTTCATGCTGCTACTTCCAAACTTTTTCTTCAAATAGCCTCTCGATTTTCTCTTTGAGATGATCGGTTTAGGAAGTGTATGAGATCTGTAGCTCTTCTTCTTCTTCTTCATTTTGTGTTCTTTCTTAGGAAGATCTTCAATGCTCGTTACCCTTGCTAGAGATGAAAACGAGTCTGATTTTCCATGATAAAACTTCGATAGCCCTCGTCTGCAGCAAATTCAACCATTTCAGTATACAGATGACAGATCGTAACCTAAAATCAATCAAATTTGGGGGGGAAATTACGCAAATTAACGGAACTTACTTGATAGGTAACTGAGACATTAGGTCTGATAGATCATACAAGGAAGATCTACTGGAATTCGCGGAAGAAGAAGACGCATCATCTGTTGTATCAGATGAAGAAGATGAAGAACAACACGTTATGGACGACGATGATCCATCTGAGATTGTTGAACAAGCTTCTTCATTTGAAGAACATGGATGTTTATGTTCATGTTTATACTTGTCTGCTTCTTCTTCCATTACATCCCATTTTTTATTCTGATGATGATGATGATTATGATGATCTTTGTTATAGTTTTGATTTTTTCCTTCACCCATTTCAATTAGATTTTGATGATGAAGGAATGAAAATGGAATTATGGGGTATGAAAAACAAAGAAACAAAGAAATTGAGTGTTTGTGAAACACAGATCAAAGATAGGGTTGGAACCATTCTTGGGGAGCATATAAATATGGATTTGATAAAGAGCAAAAAAAGCGTGGACACGTGGCAAGCAATCGTTGGCACGTGGGAACAGCATTAGTGTCTTACCAAGTCTAGCTATACTTGCCTGAGCTTATCATTAAGATATGGATGAATCAAATTTAGCCAAATTATTATCTTTATCCGCTTTTTATTTTAATTTAGAAAACAAAAAATAGCTGAAATTAATAAGGTTTAAAATTTTAAAATGTTAATCTAAATTTTAAAAAAATTCTCTATATAACCATCAATTTTGCAATGTCAATGGGAATGTGTATTATTAATATCTAAGTTTTAAAATGATATGTTTCAAAAAAAATTAAAAATTTTAATCGTACTACGATTTGGTATGAAATTTAAAACTAATATTGTAAACTATTTTATTTTTAAGAAAATCATTATTTTTTTTATTAGTAAAACAGTTTTTTTGAAGGTTTTTTAATGGTAAAGATTTTACAAAATTACTTTTTTAGAAGATGAAACTTCATATTGTTGGAACAAAATTTTGGATAAAGATAGAAAAGAGAAGTCTTAAGACCCTTTTCACATTGCTAAAGCCCTTTGCAATGTCCTTGTGAATAGATGGTTATTGGAAGAATTTATAAAATTATTGATAAATTTTAAAATATTTTTTAAATGAATAGATACATTTATTCTTCTCCTTAATCCTAAATGTATATTCTCATTTTATTATTCCGTAGAATTGAGAATTTATTACAATATTTTGGAGATATTGCATTCGTAATGGCTTTTTTTAGAGCTAGAGGGTGAATTAAGTTTTAGTTTTTGTATGTTCAGTTTCAAGTTTTAGATGTGTGATACATTACCAAAAATATTAAAGAAGGAAATAAATAAATGTACGAAATAATTTTAGAATTGTGGAATATATTTATTTGGGTTGTTTGATGGTTTGACCAAACACACAGATCCACGTTCGTAAAGCGGATAAGCTCTGACGGATATTGGATAGGGATGATAACTATCATCCACGTCCCTACTCTATGTTTTTCTTCGTATGGTCCCAATTTAGTACTTTTCTTTTAAATTAAAATTAATAGACAAAATTATGTAAATGGTCCATATGACTTTTTAGATTTGCAACTTTTGTCCATAAATTTTTTATATTATATAGACGGTTCATGTGATTTTAATTTTTTTTATGTGGTTGGTTATGAACCCATGTAAAAAATTATTCTATCATTTTTGTTTTTATCTTTTTATATAATATTAAAATTTATAAACATTAAATACAAACTCTTAAAAACCCACCCGCCCACCACCGGTAACCTTAACCTATTGTACCCATACCCCCTTTCCCGAGTCCATTCCTCCTTTGCCTTATTGACTCCGATGAAATGAGATGATATGGAGGAGGAACTCAAAAACCATGGATTTTGCGGCGAAGAAGCAGTGTCAGAGAGAGAGAGAAAGAGAGAGAGAGAGAGAGAGAGAGAGAGAGAGAGAGAGAGAGAGAGAGAGAGACCTTAAAGTTGGAGATGTTAAACCAAATTATCACAAGAAGGAACCGTAAAAGGAAAACCGGGCATGGAGAGAGAGACCTCGTTTGGTAATTATAGTTGTTGAAGCTCCTTAACGGAGGAATCATCATTGGAGAAAGTGAAATAGGATAGCATCATCAAGTCAAACTGGTGGTGATTGGTGTAACGTCTCAAAAATCACAACAAATTTAAACTTTAAAAAAAATCCACTTACTTAAAAAGAAGTGTTTACATAACCATTGTTTTCAAAACATTATTCAAAAACAAAGTTTCCCAAGATCCACAATATAAAACCAGGGATATGTACGGTCACGCCTTCGCCTTGCCATGGTCCTCGGAAGTACCTGAAACAAAACTAAAATTGTAAGTCAACGCTTAGTGAGTTCCCCCAAAGTACCACAACATAAGCATAACAAACAACAACATGCAAATATAAGCCTCCAGCCTGACTGGACCGCCTCGCAGGGACTACAACCTATCTGGATCGCTCTCCGACCCTTCAGCATGATTGGACCGCCTCGTAGGGCCTACAGCCTATCCAGACCGCTCTCCGGGCCTTCGGCCTGACTGAACCGCCTCGCAGGGCCTACAACCTATCCGGACCACCCCGCGTATCTTGGCCTTCAGCACAAAACAGGACCGCCTCAACCCGATACACCATCACATATCAACATATACCATAACAATTAATAGCTAGCACATATAGGTGGTCACACAGATCTAACAGATCACTACAACATAGCAACATCCTATATACCAGGATACACATCTAACAGATCACTACAACATAGCAACATACGGTAAACCAGGATATTGATCTAATGGGACGACCTTGGTGCCTTCGACCCATAAGTACAGTGAGGAAAACTCACCTCGTACTCTGACGAATAGCTGATGTAACACCCTGAATTTCAACCCATATTTTTCAATTAAAACTTTAATTATTTATGAAATTCACAACTGTAAGAATATTAAAACATTTATTAGAGTATCATTAAAATTTATCAAGTACACAAGTACCCCATAGATGTGATGCCATCGAGTCGTGCCCCTCCTTTAATATAACAAAACCTGAAACATGTAAACCGCAAACTGTAAGCACAAAGCTTAGTAAGTTCCCCAAAATACCACACACAACACAACATAAATAAACAACTATGGGTTATCAGCAACCTTGGGGACTATCAGCAGTCCCAATGGGCTAACAGCACGCCCGATGGGTTATCAGCAACCCTGGAGACTATCAGCAGTCTCAGTGGGCTAACATCACACCCGATGGGTTATCAGCAACCCTGGAGACTATCAGCGGTCTTAGTCACATATAAACAACATAACACAATAATAATAGCTAGACCCAACTAGTCATCACAGACACAACTATTCTACCACACAGGCTCGTATAAACATGCAAGAGTCAAAAAGACAGCTAGCATCCTACATACATAATTTAGTGAACCGACATTGGTGCCTTCGACTCACGAGCACCGGGAGAAAACTCACCTCATACTGTTGAAACATCCAGATAAATGCTCGAACTGCTGATCCAGGAAGCCTCCGCACTAAATATCATCAAGCAATATACTTATTATTAATCAGGTCATAAACCACAACTGGGCCCTGCCCAAAGACACCCAAAAGCCTACAATGGCCCAAAATCCTAAATGGTGCCCAAAGCCCACCATGGTCCAAATTCCAAGAAGGCCCAATGCCTAACAATAACCCAAAGTCAAAAAGGACTAGTAACCCAATAAGACCAAAACCTTAATAGTCCAACATGGCCCAAACCCAAAAGTCAACGGCGGTCAACAATCTGAGTACGCCACGCGTACTCGATCTACGCCCAACGTACGCCACCTCTGGGCAGTATGCACTGCGTATTAGCTGCGTACGCCCAACGTACTCCACAACAACCCAAACTCATCATTAAGGACTTAAATGGTTAAGCCATTAAGTCGACTTCCCAGATCTGATCCTAAATAACATCTTAACCCATAAAGTCAAGGACTTTAAGCCTTTGCATGGCTGGAAAGAGTTTAAACCTTGAAACTCTAACTTGATCCACACTCAACACTATCAAAATCTTGCATGGCTAGAAAGAGACCATCAATTAATCATTTTTATGAATCCACAAGACCTAAAATGCTTGAAAGGACAGCTAATAAGCTCTGGAGTACTCCATACTCACAAAGGTCCAAGCTTTGGGAAAAAAGTTCATGAAAAAGCCATCTATGTAGATCTAAAAGGAGACTCATCAAGGTATGAACCTTATACCTTTAGAAGACGCACCAAACGAAGTAGTTTCTGGATCCAAAAGCTTGCAAGCAACCCCTCCTTCTTCACTAGTCTTCCTCTTCAACAAAAGGCTACTAAAATCATCACCAAGGTTCCATATCTTCAATCACAAAGGATACACTCGAAATTAGGGTGTGGAAGGAGTGGAGGTTGATTATGGGAGGCCCAAGGGTGAGTTAATGGCTTTAAATAGGGATGATACCCTAAAAATTAGGGTTTGGCATCAGCCTACGTACGCCCTGTGTAGTCCTAGTACGCCAACGTATTAGGTTCAACTCTGCGATCTTCCATCGCCTAGTACGCCCAGCGTACACCCTATACGCCCAACGTATTAGTCTCAACCTAAAATCCCTCCAACTTAGAATGACCATAACTTATTTGTATGGTGCATATACAACCCTAGATTTTGTTGGGTTTTAAGTACTATAACACTCCTATGGTGCATATACAACCCTAGATGCTTTGGATCTAAGTTTTCTCTAATTATACATGCAATTTCATTTTCCAAAGCATGAAGCCTAACTAGCATACAAATTTTATATTTGAATCATAAAAACTAGTTAGATGATTACCTCTTGTTGTAGCTTGCAGAACTTGGCCTTATAAGAGCTTAGCACCCCAAGTATGATGCCTCAAACAAGTCACAAACACCAAGAACAATTAGAAGAATATGAGAGAGGTCTAGGAGACACCAAAATCAACTAGTTTCTTCTTGGAATACTTGTGTCACGATTTTGGAGCTAAGGGAACATATTTATAGTGTAGAATTTCAAGGGTCACTTGTAAACCCTAATTCATACACTTAGTTTTTTAATCCAATAACACTTCATGGACTCTTATATGAACTTAGTCCATTACTAATTAATCATGGATCATTAGCCCAAATTATATGTATCATTGATTTACAAAATCAGCCCCTGTTAATTTAATTAGTCTCTTTTGATCACTAAATTAATTCCAAATTAATTCTTGATCAATACCAATTAAATAATATGATTTATCAATTAATATATTATTATTATAATATATTAATAAATCAAAAATAACCTCTTTCTCAAATATCCATCCTATCAAATTGTACTGGTGAAGGCAACCCGAAATGGACCATGCTACTATCGGGTCAAGTACATATCAATTATAGTTATGGGCTTAGACACCTAATCCAACAGTCTCCCACTTGGACAAGTCT